AACAGGAAGTGGATGTACTGCTAATCTAACAAGATGTGTTGAAACGACATGAAAATCAGCATAGCGGAACGAAACATAAACTTGATCTGTAACTCATCATGGTAAACTCACATATCAAAAATCAGGGCAAAATCTAAAGGCTTATAGAAAAAAGTCTGTATAACTGTGATTTTCAACAATTTTCAAAGTCCAAAGCCCGTAATTTCGGTAACAATTAGCAGAGCGGAACGAAACTTAAACTTGATCTGTAATTCATCGTGGTTAACTCTCATACCAAAAATCAGCCAAATACCTGAAATTGCTTATAATGGTTTGTTGCGGAATGACGGACAAGGGTAAAACTATATGGCCCTGACAACTTTGTTGCGGGGCCATAAAAATGAAGCCACTCAAACAAGAGCTAATCCCCTAAATGTTTTACATACAGATGATATGATTAAGATCAATAAGATATTATCAGATCTGGGCCCTTACATATATACAATTGGAATCTAATATATATGGAAGTTGTGATTTTAGGGACCATCTATTCAAATAAATTGTTAAAACAGAGATATGTCTTGGGTTTTTGTTATTTTGATAGTAAAATCCAAATGTTGAAATTAAAATAGCAATATTCAATAAAATTGAGAATGGAAATGGGGAATGTGTCAAAGAAACAACAACCCGACCAAAGAGCAGAAAACAGCCGAAGGCCAACAATGGGTCTTCAACACAGTGAGAAAATCCTGCACCCGGTGGCGGGCTTCAGCTGGCCCCTAATTAAAAATGTGTACTAGTTCAGTGAAAATAGACGTCACACTAAACTCCAAAACATATAAATGAACTAAAATTAAAGGTTAACAAAGACTTATGTCTTCATCATATGAAAATCAAGCACAATCCCTCCCATCAGGGGTTTAGTATCATACCATCATAAAATATATGAGAAGAACATAACCCGTATCATGCCAACAATTGGTTTTAGAATAAATTTGTTTATTTCCGATGCAAAGACCCTATGAGTGAATCAATATTATGCCATCTTTAATGACCTGACAACAGTATCGTAGCTATATCCCTTCTGAATAAGTCTGTTTAAAGGTTTAACATGTAAGTTATGTAAAATATTCAAAGTCAATGAACCTTGACTCAGGGGGTGGGGCCATATAATCTCCATGGAAATGAGATGTGCCGATGTTAATACAACTGCATACCAAATATATTTGACTTACCTCTAATGGTTCCCCATAAGCTGACCTAATCACAAACTAATACATGTAAACTAAGCAAAAGTTTTAAAGTTAATAGACCACGACTGAGGGGCGGGGCCAAATAATATCCAGCGAAATGAGATGTGCCAATGCTAATACAGCTGCATACTAAATATCATTGACTTACCACTAGTGGTTCCCCATAAACTGACCTAATCACAAACTAATACATTGTTGACGCCACTGCCGCCGGGAACAGCATATCTATGTCTTGCTTTTTGAATGCGTCAAGGCGAGACAAAAATAAAAGAAGAATGTGTCCATGGGACACAGATGCACTAGCTTGTAAATATGCAAGAGTGATTCTGAGTCAATGTACTTATTCAAACCTATTGATGTTTTGTTTTCTTAGAAACTTAATGACATTTGTTTCTGTATGTTGAGTGCCCAAAACAACAAATTTGGCAATTTTCCATTTATAAAGGGACATAACAAAAGAACGGTGGAATAATCCGCATTGATGCCACCCAAAAAATCGAACTTGTTCAGTGTTTGGTGGTTAAGTATTGAGTATAAGTTTCAGAAACATTTGGCTGTGGCAAAGTAAAGTTAGAGTGCAGAAAGGGCAAATGTTAGCAATATTTTCATTCATTAAGGATGTTCGCTTGTCATGTTTTGAAATTTTTGACAGATTTTCGGAATCCTCTGTTTTTATCCATTTGAATGCCTTAAAAAATTTTGCCCGCTAACTCCTACTTTTCTTTTCATAATTTTATTACACATAGTTTAAAAAGCCATATTTGAAAATCCATAATCCTTGTTATTTTTTCATAATTTTTAAAAGAAAAAGGGTGCCAATGTTAAATGTATGAAAAGTCTAGAGAGAATTATATCCCGCCAAATTTTCATTGGCTTATATCTCGAAAACAAATACACAGCCATAATTTTTTTCTGCTTTTTTTATTCCTTTGTTTATATACTATCAATTTATAACAGTCTTTTAAAAAGCTTGTTATTCTAATACAGAGTAGCAAACATCCTTAAGGGAAATAATTCAAAAATGGTGAAAGTGATGCCATTCAAATTCGAACTTGATCTGTGATTATCTGTGTTTGGTGGTAATAAGCATTGTGTATATATAAGTTTCATAATATTTGGTTGAGGCTAACTAAAATTGGAAAACAGAAAACAATTTCAGTAGGTACTGAGCTACAGACAGACCAAGGTAAACATTAATTTTATTAAAAGAACACCATGTTCCTATGATCCTGTAGTAACTACCTTTCATAAGTTCCTTAAATGTCCAAAATGTAATGAAACTGGTTGGGACACTATTTGGAAAACCTATTGTATTAACCTTAATATTAAATTATACGTGACAGTTTAAAGTCTGGTGAGGACAATGAGCTAGTATTTCACAAGGATTCTGAATATATAAATAAAACAAAATGTTTTCTGGAGTAATGACAAAGGCGTGGCTGCCTTTAAATACAAAATTGACTCAGCTTGATAGATGTGAAAGTTTTAAGAACTAAAAAAACCAGGGCAAAGTTTTGTAAATAATTTATACAAAATTTGATAGGTATAATTAAATTTAAATTCAAATGACAATGCCACCTAATTAGACAATTTTCTAACAGGTGTATAACTATTTCAGTAAAAATACTTAATTATTAATCAAGGTCAACTGTATCTGTATCATGTTTTCAACATTATCAATTATTCATTGCAAAAACTATCTTTTCAATCATTCAAGGAGAATCTTGAACAAGATTAGGATCATTGTGAGACTGGAAAAATAAAAATGTTTTGATATAAGCATAAGTGTCAACTCTTCAGATACTGGAAACAGTATCCAGCGAAATGTGGAATAGAATCTACACCTCTCAAGAAAATATCTCCCAATTTCTTACATTTTCACAAATTTTAACTATAAATAGTTGTTATCCTAAAACTATAAAAAAAATCTGGTCAAAACAATCTTTTATCCTATGTGTGATTATATAGTATCCAAGCAATGTGACATGTTACATAGTAATAATGTAAACAGAATACATTTTGTTGTTCAAACCTAAGTGTAAACGGTTGACACAACGATATGTCTGTATGAAAGAACTATAGTATAATGCAAATGTTAAAATATATATGGCAACACTTTAACATGCAAACAATGCAAAACAGTCAAGGTCAATCTACTTCGACTGAGGGGGCAGAGTCAAATAACCTCTATGGAAATGTGATGTACCAATGCTAATACAACTGCAAGGCAAATACACGTATCCTTAACTCACATCAATGGTTCTTCTTAAAATGACCAAATCACAAACTTAAACATGTAAACTATGCAAAGATTGTAAAGTCAATAGTCCTTAGACCATGACTGAGGGGTAGGGCCAAATAATTACCATGGGAATAAAAGAACAGAGTTCCAATGTCCCCCGTGTTGCAAATTTTTTATCTATCCAAGGGCAATAACTAAAAAAAAACTTTTCTTTTTTGTTATTTAAAACTTTTTACAAATATCTTAGAGAAATGAAGGCTCGACAGCAAATACAATGCAATTTCAAACATAATTGATATTTCCAAGTGGCATAACTCTTTAAAAAATATTAGATCAACACTGATTTGGAACTTATCTGAGACATTGCTGAAATAAACCTTTGATATAATTTTGATAAAAATCTGGCAAGAAATGTACACATGAGGGGGCTAATAATGCAATTTTCCATTATTTTCCATAATGCTGATTAAAACCTATGATATAAGTTTCATAAAAATCTGGCAAGAATTGTACACATGAGAGAGCTAACAATGAAATTTTCCATAATTTCCAAGGGGCAGAACTCTTAAAAATAGTTGATCAACACTAATTTTTGAACTTGTCTGAGACATTGCTGATATAAACCTATGACGGGCAGGGGACAATTAAATGTCAATATTACTGCATACCAAATATCATTGACTTTCAAGTAGTGGTTCCATTTAATCTTAACTAATCACAATCTTTAACAATTGTTGATGCTGCCAACACTGACAATGGAAACAGTATGCGGTTGCAGACATGACAAAAAATCCAAATGACTTTCAATTGAAAACTAGTATTCTCTCTTCAACTTCATTTTGACTAATACTTACAATATAAGTGACACAAAATTTTGATTGGATTTTGAATGGAATGGATGATTTATTTGAAAAATGTTACTATATTTATCTTCAGAGTTATTTTTTGTGTTCTTACAAATCCTTTTAATTTTAATCCAGGTGAATTATGCATTACATGTCTAGTATTCAATCACCATTGGAAAATCGTTGTCAGAAGATAATTTCTGTTTTATCATCTCAAGATATGGGTTATCTGGAAACCATGTTATAAATTGTATATGACCAAAGCTATATTTCAATGATTATTTTTCATCCAAACATCCCTACAGATTTATTTCAAAGAAGATTAACAGAAGATTGTCTTCTTTACTTTTTTCAATCAAATTAAGTGTGTAAAATTTACCACTGCTATCATTTATACATATATCAGATCGAAGTTGAATGAAAGCCCCCCCTTTTTTCACAATAAAAAATAAATAAAATACCACGAGAAAACCTAAACAAAAAACATGTCTGAAAGGCAATCTAATTATACAGCAAATTTTTATTTGAAGACATTTTTTTTAAACAAACCAGATTTATCTTACAGTCTTACGCTGTCATATGACAAAGTACATTTCTAACTAAAGGATAGCATTGATGATAGATGCATTAACTCTATCATATTGAGGAGGAAAAATCTTCAGGGTGAAATGTAAGACTTACATCATAAAATTCTTTCTTTGCAGCAGTTTTGAGGGCTGATATCCACTCCTCCATTTCTCTTCTACTCTCTGCACACAGTACTAAATTTCGGAATGGTGTTATAACCTGGAAATAAATACAAAACATAATTCATTACCTTTATCTAGAAGGTACTACATTAATGATCCCAAAAACCTTCAATTTTGTGTTGTACTTTGGTATTCATTCATTTTACTATAGAAGAATATCTTCTGTCCCAGACTGTGGTAAAATTTAAACAACAAAGACTGAACAAAAACAAGTGATAACAATATTTTCAAAATTTTGTTTCCGTCTTTTCACAAAAAACAATCATCGTTCAATTGCAAAAAATATATCTACAATTAATGATCAATTTTGTGTTGTACTTTGGTATTCATTCATTTTACTATAGAAGAATATCTTCTGTCCCAGACTGTGGTAAAATTTAAACAACAAAGACTGAACAAAAACAAGTGATAACAATATTTTCAAAATTTTGTTTCCGTCTTTTCACAAAAAACAATCATCGTTCAATTGCAAAAAATATATCTACAATTAATGATCAAAGATTGAAAATGGCACGCTCACATACCCCACGCCCCCACATTGTCACTGGGCAAACAAAGTATCACCAGATTCCTAAGTTCAAAGACTTATAACTCCTACATAAGTCAACAGACAAAAATTTCTTGCAGATATGCACATTCACATATTATGTCCTTATTATCTACAAAGTTTCATGAAATGCTGTTGTGTGGATTCAGAGGAGTTGCGATGACAAACTGTTGCAGTAGTATATATAGGCCAAAATTTTAATTTCAAAGGGGCATAACTCCTAGGAAAAAAATTGAATCATAATTTCCTATTCATATGCACATCCACATAGTATATCCTTATTATCTACCAGGTTTCATGAAATTCTGTTGTGTGGATTCAGAGAATTTGCGATGACAAACTATTGCAGTGGTATATCTAGGCCAAAAATTCTCAGTTCAAAGGGGCATATCTCCTAGAAAAAGAATTGAATCATATTTTCCTGTTGATATGCATATCTTTATAGTATGTCCTTGTTATCAACAAAGTTTTATGAAATTCTGTTGTGTGGTTTCAGAGGAGTTGCAATGACAATAAACAGCTGCACCATGAGCGCATGATACGCCCATCACATTTTCAAAGAATAAAGTTCGATGACTTCTCAATGTCATATCCTAAATTTATAAAAAAAACTAAAGGGATATAAATCAGTCACCAAAGTTTAATGAAAACTGCTCAAAGCACTTTAAGGATATTGTCCGAAAACTGGAAAATCGTTCCTTTTTTTATGAATGAAACCCCGTAACTAGTAAACGTAAAATCTGAAATTAATAAAAATTGAAAAGGACCTTACGTCAATAGATATAAACAATTTACCAAAGTTTGTTGCAAATTGGTGAAAGTGTTTTTGAGTTATTGTCCGAAAACTGGAAAATCCCCCTTTTAGTTATGAATAAAACCCCAAAACTCGGAAACGTCAAATCTGAAATTTATAAAAAACAAAAGGGAGCTCACGTCAATATATATAAACAATTCACAAAAGTTTCATGCAAATTGGTTAAAGCGTTTTTGAGTTAATATCCGACATGTTGACGACGGATGGACAGACGGACGGACGGACTGACAGACAGACAATATACCATAATACGTCCCGTAAACAGGCGTATCAAAACAGGACTGATGGACGGACTGACAGACGGGTCAATAACATTATACCCTACAGTACTTTGTTCCATGGGTTATAATAAGACAAAATTGAAGCTGACCAATTGTCTTCAATTAAAATACAAAAATACAAAAAAAATCATTTTCCTCCCAAGACATTTTATATCAGAAAATACTGTACAGTATGTGCAATGTTTGCCGTGGATTTTAACATAATTCTTAGTACTATTGGGTCTTGTCAAAACCTAATAGAATTTTCTGTTTTTGAAGTCCTGAACATTGGTAAAAAACAGTTCAAAAATGTTCATTGATAGTTGTTTGCCTGATGTCCAGTGACAAATATTTCATGCATTATTATGATGAGTACCAAAATGTATACAAAAATAATCATGAAAATTTTACATCTGAAAGGTTACTAAGTAAATATGTACTTCAAGTTTACCTTAAATGACAAAAATATGTAAATTATTAAAAGTATGCATGAATACCAAAAGCAAAAACTTCCAAAGATGTTATATCTAAGAATGTTTACTTCCTGTTTAATCATTCAACTGACATCAAATACTCATAAAAGAACTTATCATTAATAAATATATTTCATGAAATCAATAATGGTGTGAACTAAAACTAAAATAGTTATGTAGTTTGGAAAGTATTTACATGAATTATACAACAATTCCCAGAAAAATATAAGTACATTCAGAATCTCTGGGGAAAAGATAGAATCACTTCTGCTTTTTTTAACAACTAATAGCACCTACAACAAAGCCATTAGAAAAATGTTATATCAGAAAGGTTACCAAGTAAATATGTACTTGAGGTTTACCTAAAAAGGACAAACATTCGTAACTGATTAGAAGTTTGCATGTTCCAAGAACATTGGGATGATGATATCGTAAATTCCTGGAAGTCTGATCTCATAATATTTGATATATTGCCTTAATTATTTTGTCTTTGGAAACCAATGTCAACAATACTTTCAAGCTGATTAATTACAAGTTTGAAAACAAGATAATAACATCCATAAACCTGTAAACATAGTATTTTCATGTTTGAATATAATCTGTTTTATATTGGACATCAAAGTTTACCTATTTACTTGTACTTTGTAACCAGATTCTTCACAAGACAACCAAATGAAATATAGGGTATCATCCAAATTTAATCAGATTTATCACACCTATCATATTCTGTTAAATAGTAAAAATATATCAAGGTTTAAATAATTAATTTTTGTAATTTTGACAAAAAGGTATATATGTATTTCCATTATCCACAAAATATTTGATCAACACTTAATCTTTGTATTCATGCACAGTTTGAATTCAGCTTTCACTAGATAATAGACATGTCAGTCAAGAACCCTTTGGGGAGTAAAGCTTACTGTGATGTATCTTTAGTGGCAATTAGGTAGAACAAAAAGAACCAAACAAATTTTTCTTGAATTCGACAAGGATACTCAATAGTTATCAAAGGTACCAGACTTATAATTTGATACGCTAGACGCGCGTTTCGTCTACATAAGACTCATCAATGATGCTCAAAATTGTCTAAATATATATGCACATGATGTTTAACAATTGTAAAACTATACAGTTATCCCACTCTTATAAGGTAATTTCTTTACCACAAAATGTAGCAACATATTTCAAACTATTACATTCTGGCAAAGAGTAGATCTAAATCTAAATTAAAAACAAAACTTGCTGGATTTGAGAGTTGCCTCCCTTGAGAGGATCATACAGGAAGAGGACTACTGTATATAATTACATATCAAGAAAAGTACTTCAAGCACAATAAATCAAATAAAGTATGAAAATAAAGTAATACATGTATAGTTATATATGTATACAAACATTTATTGATATGTACTAATTTTTATTCTTTAAAAATAAATAAACACGACTACTTCTTATACAAAATGAAACTTAGTATCTATTTTTCTAATAACATAAGCGATATTGAATACCAAAGTACACATAAGCACAAAATAAAAGTTTTCCTATAAAAAATTGTTCACGATGCAGACTTCTCCAAATGTGTCAGAACATCACTTGACATAGTTCTAGGAGTAGCCTGTTTCATCAATGAACATTTATAACAGAACAAAATGATCTACAGCACCTGAACTGACCATACTTACCATCAAAGACCGTGGACACCCCTGCAGAATAAAGTAAACGTAACAGTTCTGGTTTAAAATCTATCATGTTGACCAAAGGTGTTTGACATATTTAGTTTTTAATCAGATATAAGTAAAACAGGTATCAATTCAGTTCATACCATTTCTAGCTTTTCATACATATGTGTATAGGCTACCTTAGTTCTAAAGGACCCATTCTGCATAAGCCTTAACCCCTTGCTGTTTGGTAGTGAAAATTATCATTAATTCAATTTGGATAGAAAAAAATTCCATTTACTACCTTTTGGGTGAGATGGTAAAAATGTATATGGAAAAGACTGTTCCCTTACAAATTGAACAAAAGTAACTCCAGATTGAAATGTAGGTCAGACCGACCAAAATGCTACTGAATAGTAGAATATCGAAATATTTCGGAATCAAAATTACGCTCTAGTGATATAGCATTAACTATGACTCTATGTATCCTGAATATTATAAGTTATCTACGTTCATATTCGTAGATAACGAATTTATCCCTGGTCTTAGTCTAAATCTGGCGATTTTCAGAGAAATTCGACCACAAAGTTTAACGTGAAAGCAACGTTTTTTTCATTTTTTAAATATCTTTTATTGAAATCTGGGAATTTGACATATTTTTGAATGGGGTGTAGGGTACTGCCTTTGGTAGAACTCTACAGGTAGACAAATACAAGACGTTTTTAAACTAGAGACAGAGAAACTGAAATGGGTCGAATTTGGCGTGCAATGTTGTGAGAGTTACATCATAAACGGTGTGACGTCAACGTGGGTAATTTGCATAGCTAGGTCAGTAGTACCATTCATTGACAATGTGGCTGCATAGTGATGCATTTACTAAAATGAGTGCAAATAATCGATATAATAAGATAAAATCGTTAGTGGATTACGTATTTAATTATACAGACATCATGGAAAATCTACAGAATTCGATATTTCATATGTAGTTCATACGTGTTTCTCGTTTCTCGTTTTTATATAGATTAGACCGTTGGTTTTTCCGTTTGAATGGTTTTACACTTGTAATTTTTTGGGGCCCTTTATAGCTTGCTGTTCGGTGTGAGCCAATGCTCCGTGTTGAAGGCCGTACCTTGTCCTATAATGGTTTACTTTTATAAATTGTAACTTGGATGGAGAGTTGTCTCATTGGCACTCATACCACATCTTCCTATATCTAACCATGGAACTAAGGAAAATGCCCGTGAAATTCCCAGATGTAATGGGAAGCAACGTCCGGGGATATGGGTTA